CTCTTCCTTATTTCTGCTAATAGTCGATTATTAGATAATACTCGTATCTGTTTTGTCGTTCGCATTTGGAGAAAAGTTCTTATTAAATATGAATCTCTTACAACATATGAATATAAAAAGTGCATTTCGAAAAACAAGACGTAATTATTCACAAAAAAAAAAAAACAAAAGAAAAGAAATTATAAATCTTCATTACATGGTGTGAGGTTATTCCTCTATTTTTAATAAGAGATCGACAAAAAAAAAAGCAAAAAAAAACAACAAAAACAGAAAAATAAAAGAAAAACGATTTTTTCATTTTCTTCGATCGCTCCAAAATAACAATAAATTGTATTTTTTTTGGATATCTTAATGCCAGGAATTTAAGTTCACATTGTGTTCACTCGTTCAACATATTTTAAAAAAACTTGTAATTGCGAAACCAAAATTAAACTACGAAGAAATTGCATTATAAGTAATTACAAAAATCGTTTTCTTCATATTAAAAGTTCGAAATTCAAAAATTAAAAAAGAAGAACACAGCGTCAATACATCAAATCCTTTATAATCTACTATAAAATTATCTATAAAATTTAAATTACTTGAATGTTTCGCACATGGAAACATCAAAAAATCAATGTTTACAATATAATATAATATAGGAACAAAGATATTAAAAAAAAACGTTTAACATAAAGTTTTTAAATCTTCCCAATCAAATAGTAGAGGTTACGCTTTTCTACATAAAAGCTGAGTTGTTCTTTATTATTAATTTAAATTACTGGAAAAAAAACTCAAATTGTTTTCATATTTTTAGAATACATTGGATCTATTTGATTGGGCATTTTTATATATCGATTTGCGTTGTTTCTTAATTACTCAATCAGAATTTTTTTACGAGAAATCCAATTTACCGAGACGCAGTAAGCGTTTTTATAAATCTAAGTCATTTTACATTTAATAAATCAAAAATCAATAATGTCAAACGAAAATGCTTTTTAAACAAAAATTACTAATAATAAATTCACACCTTTGAATTCGGGGGAGTGTTTCCCATATTTTTTATGCTTGTCTCTACTTTTACTGGTCTTTACAGTTTTTGTATTATTATTAAATTAGAAAATATTGTTAAAAAGATGAGGAAAACTTTTTTTAATATTTTAAAAAATGTTTCATATCAATTATCAACTGTTTTATTTGGTTTCTAAAATTTTCGCGTTTTTTTTATCTGCATATTCGAATGAAATTTTTATTTAATAATAAACGTTTTGTAAAAGAAATTTTCACCTTACTGAGTCACAATTAAATATTTATCTAGTGACTGAAAAACGAGAAAATATTTTGCTTTTTTTTGCAAAAAATTTTCATTATGGTCAAAAATAAAAATATAATCATATTAAGAGAAGAAAAAAATAAAAATAAAAATGAATATCACGTTGACTGCCTGCTCTCGATGTTATTATTAATATATGTACATATGTATATTTGTGCGCATGTATGTCAAGTATATTTCTAGAAATCTATACTTATGTATTCATAAAAATATAATTTCAATTTTCTGTTTTGAAATGGCACGATCAATAAAAAAAAAATATTTGGAAAAAATAGAAAAAGAGGATGATATGAAAACATATTGTAAAATAAGAGAAATAAGAGAAAAGTATAAAAGCAAAAAAAAAAAAAACAAAACATAAAATTCGCTATCATTAAATTTTATAATAATATTATGTAGAAAATTGTAGCTATAAGTATACATACATATATACATATGAATATGTTTATTTGCAGTCAAATACATACATTTTGTTATATTTATGTTAATAAAATTGTTCTATTTTCATAAATATAACCATTTAATTACAAATAGTCGAAATGTAGATAATTATTGTGGAAGAGAACATTTTTTTTATACAGTAATGCAATTTAAATATATTATTCAATATGCAATCAAATATATTATAATATAAGTATATTATTAATATGTAATAACGTACTTTATTGATTGTGTAGTTTAGTAGAATTACGAAAATGGTTAGAATAAAATTTTGTTCTATTTTAACTGAATTTCAATTGTAACAGAAAACAAAAAACAAACTATAATTAATTTTTATTCAATTATGACCAAATGTATAATTAAAATCAGAATTTCACGATAAAAAAAGTAAAATATAAAGATTAAGTAGGTAGGTACCTACGTAAGTATGTATATACCTATATATAAAAAAAAAGCAATTTGAATACTTTTCATTGTCAATCAAATAGATGCAGTAAATGAAAATTAAAATCAAAACCAGAAATCATTTCCAATTTTAGAGAAATATTTAGCAGTATTTCTCATCATTAATGAGCTTATATTAAACAGAAACTGAAATCGTTTTATATCACAGCATAATAGATTTATAGAATAAAGTGTATTTATTATTAGCATCGAACTGGGTAAGACCCATGTAAGACCTATTAAAATGTTTTTCTCTTCTTAGGCCAATTAGAATTCATCATTCAGCTATTTTATTTTCCTATTAAATAATTGCCTCCTATTCTCCTAAAGTGAACATAAATATTTCTTTGACTGCTACATCATATAAGTACAAAAGGAATAATTTAAAGTGTAAAAAGTATTTGTGCTGCTACAAGTTTTGGAGGCAAAATTGCTCTTGTAACATATTAAGTCTTGCAATAAACATAATATAAATTAAACACAGGAACTGCTTCTTTTGTAATTTTTAATTTAAATATGTGTATGTACATGCATTTGATGTATTATGTATGTGCATTAAGATTATATATGTGCATTCAATGTTTCATTTCAAACGTAAGAAATTATAGAAATTAACAAATATAATTGAACAGCAAAACAATTGATTTAAACAGCAAAAAGTTCTATAGTATGTACGTAATCTTTTATACAAATTTAAAAACATCAAGTTTCCAAACAGATACTCGTATATTTTTATATATACTTGTATTTTTTTTATATACATAACAATAAGTTAGTAAAAAAAGGATATTATTCGAAATGTCATAAAAGTAACATAGTTACCTACATACATAACATGTTTCATAGAATATCAAATTTTTTTAATATCGTTTTCAAATTGCCATGCTATATTCAAACTAGATACTGAAGCAAGTAGGGACACCTAGATATGTAAATAAAACAAAGTTGAATTCTTTTAGGTGTCAACCTTGAAGTTCACACAAGACCCTATTATATGCACATCTTTATGTTTAGAATTCATACGTATTTTAAAAGCCTTTGCTAACATTTAGTTCAGTTCCAAGTTTTAAGATTCTTTATGAAAAAAAACGAATCAATAAGGAATTATTTCAATTTTCAAAAAGTAAAAACAAGTAAAGGAAGCAGGTACCTGTTATGTGTGTGTACATACATACATACATATGTACGTATTCAATTCACTTTAATTTTTTCTTAAGTTTGATTTGAAACAATTATACATACCAATTTTCAATTTCTCATGTACACCAGTTTTAATATAAAATTATTTTATTTATAAATTGTCAAATACATTTAGTTTGACTTTATGTGCCAGACGTGTTTATTTAACATTTTTTGCTAACCTGACGAAATACACTTTTTTCTTATTGCAAAAAGCAGAGCGCATATGCCGTAAATATGAAGTTTCATTTTGACAAATATATATATCTCTAGTTCAAATTAATTTGTTATATATTTTATAACGAACATTAATTAGTCTAATTTTTAAATATGATTGATTTGCAAAAATAAAAAACTCACAATTACGTTTTCGTGTTTTTCCTGTAAAACTAGACGCCCAGTAGTTTTCTCCATAATATAGTTATTAGAAAAGGAATATATGCTTAACCGTTTTAAATAAATAATTCTTATTTATTGCTCTATTTTTGCTGTATACTTTTTGAAAATTTATTCAATCTTACTTGATATAAAAAGCAAGAAATGTTAGCTTAATATAAATGTTATAAGCAAAATTTATATTTAAACCTTTCAAACAGTAATTTTTTTACAATGGCAATATTTCTGACATTTTTAAACCGCCAATAAAAGTCAAAATTCAGTACTGCCATTTAATAATGTAGCGAAATTATTCTAATGTCAACTTCTTAAATAAGTTTGTAATTCCATATTCCATGCTCTGGTGGTAAAATTTACAATTCACCTGTGAAAAGAGAACCACTTAGCTTTTCTATTTTACAAAACTTGAAAAAACTTTGATAATTGAAAAAATGAGAATGTCATCATTTTGTCTTATTTTTGCTAAAAAAGTATTATCTCAGACAGTTTGCATGCAAAACTTTTATAAAGTTTTTCAAGTTTTCTGCCTGGTTCATTTCTTTTCTAAAAGAGAATTTTTTTTCTTTTTGAGAGAAATTTCGTTTCTCTTTTTAAAGTTTTTGCAAGTTGTATCCCAGACAGAAAGACCTATTATATAATTACAGATTATTGCAATTAAGTCTGTCTTAAGAAAGTTTTTGAAAAATTAATAAAAGCTGAAAAAACTTTGTAAAGTTCAACATTTTTCAATTGTTTAAGAAATTTCCAAGTTTTGTAAAGTAATATATAGTATTTTAAAAGATTTTAAAATCGTAAAGCTGTCAAAGTATATGTACTTCTTGATTTGGTCAATAGATTTTATTTTCAGAAAACTTTCTGCCAATAATAAATGTCTGTTTCAAAACTTTTTAGTTAAAAATAAAATAAACAAAATGGATTCACAACAAATAATTATTGAATGTTCTCTCACAAAAAAATTTTCACCTTTTTGTATAACATGTATATTTGCTTATGTTTGATATATATTTTGACATTTAAACTTTATTATTTGTTTGGCGTGAAAATTTTATACCAGACACTATTTTGTAATAGATTTAAAACATTTACTGTCAAAAGTTTGACATAAATTCTAAACCTTTTGGATTTTATTGGATTAAATCGTCTTATATGAAACTGACACCGTATATTTTCCATTATCAACTTTTTTTTTTTTTAAATGCTAAAAATAGACTATTATTATTTAAAATTGCAAACGGATGCTTTCCACCATCTGAAGAAAGTTATTAATCTAGTAAGTCGAGATTAATAATCTCGTTAATTATGCTGAGTGAAATATATATACATAATCAAGATGAAAAGGCTGCACTTCCAAACTTGACAGTTTCAACAAAAACAACAACAACACTTGAATCTGCTGTCAAGTCGTAGTTTTTGATAGACATTAACCTCAGAATTAGAAAATAAAACAAATTTGAAGTGCTGCTTAGAAGTTGAATCTTTACTTGGTGTAATACAATTTAATCACATAGGAGCGTATTTTTTTTACAACTAGCCAATTTTGAAATGGATCTTTGTATTCACGTTTCAACACAAAAAAGCAAATTAATTCAACCAAAATAGATGTTTCGGGCCCGTAGATGAGTTTGTTAAATTTTTTTGTCATTTTAGTAGACTTAAGCCCTTTTTTAAAACCAGTTCTTACAATTAAGTATATATTTGTTTGTCATTTCAGTTGCGCAGAAGACTGACGAAAATTTTTAAAATATAACAAAACTATGGTCGTACATTCTTTTCAAAACTTAGTTCTAAATCTGAACTCGTCAAAAAAATGGCTACCACTATTTAAACATATACTGCTGAAATCGCTGCGCATCAAGAGCACATGATAATTTCAAGCGAATCCTTATTTTTTTGACATAACTATTTTGTATTTTTTGTATTCATAAAGCTTTTCTTTTTTTAATGTTCAAAACTAATTTTGATAAAAAAAAGGGATTTAAAATATAATTTGATGGCAAAGTAACTGCAAAAGCACACCATCTACCTGTATCAGTTTAATCCGTGTATTCTACTTTTAAATGTCACATAAATTTAGGCTATTTTAACGCCGGCGGTAATTTCGCTTGATTTTGGACCGCCATATTTGAGTATGTATTGTATATGAATTCTGATATTTCGTTCTGAATGTGTATTCTGCAGAAAATCGCTGTTGTTCTTTATTACAACATAATTTTAATAGAAATTTCGTAAACTACACAACTACAAATTTATTTGTATAGTGAAAATTTCATAAGGAAAACAAAATTTAACGGCTAGTCTAAATAGACGGAATGGAACAATTATATTCAAAAGTTTAGCACAAATTTTGTTTCCACAAAAAATTTTTTTGTAATTGGATAAATTTGGCCAGCGGGTTTGCGTAGTTGGTGAAAGATATTACTAATAAAAGTATAAATATCAAACTTTGTGCAAGTGTGTCCAATTACATTCTACATATGCTCTAAAAATTTTAATAGAATGATTGCGCTGGTTCAGGTAACTGAAATACAACTCCAAAAGGTAATTTTATATTTTCGGAAAAATAATAAAATTAGGTTAATGAAATTTGGCAGCCATTGGTCCAACTACAGGCCAAACACATTTTCTACTCTGACCTGTAATTGGAGCAATGTTTAAAGTTTTTCTAGGGTGGTTTGATAGGTTTGAGTAACTGCCATACTAACATCTAAGCTAATTATAAATATTGCAAAAACATGTTTTTATAGTCTGATTGACAAGATGCAAAGTATAATTCTTATATGATTGCTATAAATTTTATAATGTTTTATTTTATAATAAGTTTTGAAAATAAGACAAATTTCCGAAATACAAAATTGACAAAATAATTTTCATGTAAGTAGTAAAGAATTAAATAAAACGTAATATTTTTTGTTCTAGAAAAATTATATTGCTTTATTTAAAATATTACAAATAATGTGGTATATGTACATATGTAGGTAGGTACTTATGTATGTATTTTTTTCTGTTGTATTAATAAAATTAAAATTTTATTAGTGTCTTTTCACAGGATCAGTTTTTTTATGAGGACATAGGAAATTTTTTACAAAATATGTTGTACATAATTAAATGGTGCACTTTCATAAGTATAATGTTATGCATTGAATCCATTTTAATTGGTGAGCAATTGTTATGTAGATTCAATTAAAAGTTCTTTATCTTAAGTTCATATTTTCAATTCACCATATTCTGTAGTTGTAATTTATGTCTTTTAGAAAACTTTTTAAATGATGATGTAATCACATCCTAAAAATCGGACGATTTTAAGTTTTTTCGATTGTTGTTGCGGCAATTTTTCATTGCATACAAATGTTTTAATAATGAAATTTTTCTTTTAGCATTGTGATACATTTAAGAAAAATGTGTTTTCAATGTTTCGAAAAACACCGTGCTGAAATATTTACAATGCAAAAACTTTATTTTATTTACGTCTCGCTTACAAAATTTCTACACCCTTGAAGATAGAAAACTGAAATTTCAAATTTTCATAGATTTTTACAAGAAACTCTCTAAAAGTTATAGTCCCCCCCATAAACATAAAAAATGTCATTTGTTAACTGTTAATTAGAGCAAAATCACAAAGATCTTTTGACTTTTACAAACGCAGACGAGTAGTAGATGATTTTTCTACCGTTAAAATGGCCGCTAAAACTTTTCGTTATCTAAAATCCGTTTTTTTACACTAATAAACAGTTTATTTCATTAGATCAAAAAACGTTATATAGTTGCTTATAATTTAGAAATACTCATAAAACAACATTCTTTCCTAATAAAAATGTACATCCTACCCCGGCAAAATTTCTGCGTCAGCGATGAATCCTGAATTTTGTAAATTTTTTATTAAAAATTTTGTTAAATGAAAAATTCACCGCGCGTTTGTTGTAAATTCGGAATATTACTCGTATATTGTAAATGAGAAAATTTTTCATTAATCTCACAAACCTTTGCATGCAATGCGTATTGTTCAACAATCTGAAAAAAATTTAAGAAAAATTTAAAAGGATCGTTACCTTATGTAACTTTGTATGAAATTTAATATTTTTAAATCGCAGCCAAATCACTTTTATCATCTTGGTTCAAAATAATTTAACTAAATAACGTTTATTTTATAATAGTTGTTATTTAATAATCGTTACAGGTGTCAAAAAATTTCAAAAATATGAAAACACCAATACTGGACGATTGAATAAACTTATGAAACAGGTTAATTAATATAAAAACTATCTTTCTTAATAATTTACATAACGAAATTAAAAAGTAAAGAACTATTTTTACAAGAATTATTTTTAAAATAACATATATTTAAATTTGCAAACCAATATTGTTTTTAAAAAGTAAGTTGGACAAATAGTCTTCTTTAACATATGATAATGATTTTTATAATTTCTGTGGCAACAATAAATAGTAGCCTAAGTCAAACTGCTTTTAGCGCTATTTTAATTATGAGTGCATGCCAAATAAAAAAGAAAAAGAAAATAGTTTGAAATTAGTAAAACTGATTTTTATCTTATATCGATCTAAGTTACTGTTTATTGTCACCAAAGATTTAAACACTTTTGCTATTTTAATTCTTTTATACGTTTAATTTTTTTCGAAATACATATATACATATGTATGTATTTGCATGAACATATTTTGCTCCTTAAATTCTTAAAGTTATAATTGTATAAATAATGCATTATTTTTGAAAATTGCATAATTTATTATAAAAAAAATTAACATTAACTTGTATATACTTGAGGATATTTTTTATTAGCGTTGCAATTTTATAAAAGTATAAGTATCTTTGCTCTTCAATAAGCTACTTTGTACAGATTAATTTTTTATTTTATTTTTGAATAATTTCTGATATAAGTTTTGAAAAATATAGCTATTTATAAACAAATATTTACACTTTTTCTTGCTGATATTACATACATATAGAATGATACTCAATTTTTAAATTTTTATTTAAACCCATGGAAGGCAGATATTTGAGTATTAGTTCTTTTTTATATAATTTTTAATTATTTAATACTACTATATTTGGCATCAAAATTTGAATGTTTTTAAATTTTTTTAATTTCTATCTTAAACTATTAAACACACGTTTATGTGTATTTCGTAAAATTTTGATATTTTTTTTTTCAAAACAATGAAATTAGAATACGAATGTTTTCTATTATGGTTATTGCAACAATTAATATAGTATAAAAGCTATAGCCATTTTTTTCCAGGTACTCGTGTTCAAGTTATGTCTGCTTTTATAAAATTACATTTGAAACCATGTGAACTTAATATAAACGAAAGAAAAACTGAATAATTTTATTATTAATAATTGCATTTTTGCAAATACAATCAATGGTAAATCAAAATCAAATGTGATATTTTACAATTGGGAAGTATTGGCTTAAATATATATCACAGTTTATGTATTTAGCGTAAAATTTCTGAATAAAAACTCTTTAATTTATGTTGTAATAGTATTGTTGAACATTTTTTATAAAAGGAAACCAGCTTATAAAAGCCTATTTTATAAAAGGAAAGAAAGGAGCAAATACATCTTTGAGTAAAATATGTTACATGTGTTATCTAAATTTTTAAGAATATTTATTCTTTATGGGTTTTTTTATATTTTCATATGATGTTTAGGTCACATAATTTATTTATTATCAATAAATGTACATATTCTTATTAGCGTTTCCGTTCAAATGAATTTTACTTACATTTCCTATAATTACATTGTAATTTCAACAAAATAAATATCACTTTTTTTCTGTCTAACTTATTTAATATTTTTAATAATAATAACTCTTGTACAATTATTTTACTGTCTTTATATGTACATAACTACTTCCGACTCGTATAAGTAGTAGTAATTTTTTTATTGCATTTTAAAAATATCAAATTATTTTGTTAAAAATTATCCTAGGTGTACAAATTAAAAATCACTCTTCATTTATGGTGAATATTTTCGCATAATATATAAATATATCCATATAATTTTAAAATCTATAACAACTAAAAATAATTTTTATATTATTACAATATTTCTAAACGTAGGATGTTTTAGTATTGCTGCTATCATTCATTAACCATCAAATACGGTATTTTTCATCATGATGTTTAATTGTCCATATACCTGGCATTAATTCCGGAGGTAGATTTGAATTTAATTTAGTATTAGGTACTTTTGTTTGAGGTGATGATTGTGGTATCGTTCTTGGACTATTTATGCATGTAGTTAATATTCCACCAACAATTGCCAATGAAGCAAAACATGTTTGTGGTATTAATTGACCAAAAATAATAGTAGCACCAACAAATGGTGCTGTTAGTAACCATATTCTAGCCCATACAATTGTTGAATAGGCACATATTTTTTTCTTTTCATCACTTACTAATTCTACTGTACATGTTGTTAATATTGACAGAGTACATGATATAGCAATTTTTGATATCATAGCTGATAACATCAATAATGCGACTCTATTATTACCTTTAACTTTGAAAAAGAGAAAAAATAAAGAAAAATTACATATTGTATTTCTTCTATACATATTGCTATCATAATTATGAACAATTTTTTTTTTTCAAATTGTTCATAAGTTTTTGAAAAAAAGGTTTGAACGTTACTTACTTTCAGGTGGTATTATCCATGCTAAATAAGCTATACAACCAGCAATAATATTAAATATTCCAGTAGCTTGCCACTTAATTGATGTATTTAATATTAAATATAAACCTATAAATGTACCTATAATTTCACTGCACCCTGCAATCACTGTATTAACCTCTAAATGTTCTCTTGAAAATGCCCTAATATTTAATAACATTCCATAATAAATAACAATATAAATTGACCAAGCCAAATGAACACAAATCATATGCAAAACAGCTCGTTCACCCTTCCATATAGTCCACCAACCGGCTGGTGGTGGTGCATTGATTAAATCGATTGATTGCTGTTTTAATTGATGATCTATATCAAGTGGAAGACTATCTTGTGTACCATTAATTTCAATACATTGTATTAAAATTTCTCGAGCTTCATGCAATCGCCCCCGTTGCAGTAACCAACGTGGTGAGTCCGGAATCCATCTATGAATTGAATTATGAAAAAAAGAGTTTTCAATTTTACTATGAAGAAATTTTATATTTTAAATAACATATATAATCAATTTTATTTAATTGAACGATATATTTACTTCCATAAATATACTAAAATTATGGTAGGAAATGAAATTGCCATATAAATATGTGTCCAACTTTTAAAAAAGCTTGAGACTGCCGGAAGTAATATAACACCAATTGACCAAAATTGTTCGAATAAACATACGCAAGTTGTACGATATTTACCTCCCGTTATGTCAGTAACTACGTGTGGAAAAAAAGTTAATTAAAGAATTTTTTGTTGATTATTTTCAAAAAATTACTTACAAATCATTGCACCAGCAGTATACATTTGAGCACAACATACAGCTGAAAGACATCTAAAGAAAACATGTAACTCATAAGAAACAACATGACCCGTCATATTGCCGCAGAATATCTGAGTTAACATTCCGAATAACATGATACTTTTGGGACTAAAACTGTTGAATAGAAATTTATGTTTCCATGAAATGAAAGTTTATTAAAATTTTTTCTATACAAAAACTTAAACAGACAATTAGAGATTGAAAATTGGTTGCTCTTTAATTTCAAAATGTGTGGAGTTACTTGCAATGACCAAGACTATACATTGAAAATTTAAACTATAAATTAATATTCTAATAATTAACATTCTCAACGTATAGGGTTATACTGATAATGAGTCTTGTTTAAGTTTTTTAAAAATGGTGCTTAGCCAAAGATATCAGAATTCCATATTTGATTTAATATAAAATTAATATTTTTTTCATTACAACCATATATTATGAATTTTCAACAATTATAATTAGCTATTTTATTATCATTATTATAACAGTTACTTTTAGCATTATTATTATGTAGATAATATGCAATTTACGTTAAATTTTGGAAGCAAATATAAACAATGTACGAATTAAAATAATTATGAGTTTCATATTAACCATTTTATGGGTCTTGCTAAGGAGCTGTATTTTGCAATTGGGTTTCACTAATATTCCAACATTTTGTATTTTCTGATATTTTCATAGTATATGTTATATTGTCTCTATTTACAAATAAAAATAAAATTATAATCAAAACTTTGAAGTATTTAAAAAAATTATCGATTCCATCCAAACAATTCATATGGAAATCGTTATATTTATCCTTCGACTTACTGTTTTAGTAAATGTGTTGCTAGCATACCACCAGTTAAAACACCAAAAAGATGAAAAAATTGTGTTACGGCTACAAGTATATCTCTAGAGCAAACCAAATCGAATTGAGTTATTAATGAGTGATAATCTGCTTTATGTTCAAATGAATTGCAAGGTATTACAGCACCGTTTTTTTCTGGTTTTTCCCACGGTTTTGGTTCCATTGTCTCTGAATCATAATGAAAATATTCATGCGCATGAGCTCTTGCATCTTGGTATACATTACAAAAGTCTATATTAAATTCATGGTCATCAGCTTCTTCCTTTTCCGGATGTGAAATTTTAATCCATTGTGTGTGATTTGTTGATTCAATAGTCTCTGGTGGTTTGCAATAAAATTCTCCATGCCTAGGAGCTGGTGCTGTAACTGTCAATGAAAAATAGTATAAAAAAATATTTTTGTATTCCTTAACAGTTCTTGTAATATGAAATTTTATTTTTGTGCTTACATATTATGCATGCCATAAACCAGGATGACGGTATTTTGCACAAAAATATCAGCAATACAGTACGTAATTGCCATTTACCCCACTGACCCGTAATTTTTGATACAGCGTCAACTTTTGGTGCCATTTTGTTGTTATTAATATTGGTACTTGATGATGATTTGGAACTACTCGATTCTTCATCGACAATATGAAATGTCTCAACAGTTTCTTCATAAAATTTATTATCTGGTGAAACGTATGTTGTACTTTGAGTAATAGTTGTACCACCGTCTTGATGTGATATTGAGCTACGACGACGTACCGATAAATTTGAAATACTTTTCCTATTATTATTTTGCAATAAATTATTATTATTTATATTATTATTATTATTATTCGTTGTATTTGAATGTTGTAGCTGCAATGGTATGTTGTTATCATTAGGTGGTATAAGCGGTGTTTCAGGCTAAAAAAAAATTAAAATATAATTAATTTAATTAACATGTTTAAAAGTAATTCTTTTAATATAAACGTATATTATAATAAATTAACATAAAATTATTGAAACAATAACTTAAAAATAACAGAAAATTAAAAATTTTCAAGGGATAACAAGCATTTTTATATTAGAATAAAACTAAGAAATAATTAAAACTATTTTTGCAAGCAGAGGTTGGCATCCTTTTGAAATATCTTCAAAATTCACGTGCAACCTAATTACTCGAGGTTATAATTTTATTTACGGAATTATCTCAATTTAAACAAATTTTTTTGGTGTGTTAAATTTTAAGTTTTTGTTATTCTCTTTGTATTAAGGTATGTAGTGTAGCTAAAGACGACAAAAATAATACCAATGGCTTATTAATGTCTATACCATTAAATATAACAAATATTTTTGAAATAAATCAAACTTAAAAAAATCAGTGATTAATTTCACGTGTGAATGACATCGCAAATTACAAAAATGCAATAAAAAAATACGTTTGCATAAATTGCATTTTATTTAGAGAAAGATATTTTAGAAATTTAGATTTTTAAAAATATTGAATAGAAAGCTTAATAACGAAGGCGATGAAACGAAGAAAACAAGAGTGTTTAAATATGAAGTTGTTGAAAATAAATTTGGAATTATCGAGTGTAAAGTGTTATAATGTTTTGTAACTATACACTTTGTGTTACAAAACTGCTATGAACATGCTCTAATTTAACCTTGGTTTTCGTTATATTTTTATTTTGCTGAATGAATTGGAAAAAAATAACAATTGATTTAAGTTCAAAATAAAATTCTCCCCGGCGGGGAATCGAACCCCGGTCTCCCGCGTGACAGGCGGGGATACTAACCACTATACTACCGAGGAATGTGAAGTATGTGTTATTTTTTTGAGATATATTTTCTATTATAAATTTCAATATTTTTTAGTATATTAGAATAAATTCAGTTTCATATTTTACCTTGCACACATGTATGTATTTATATATAATTTTAAAATATATACGAAAATATTAGTTTTTTCTTTTTTATTTTCGGTTCATATAAATATGTGCATGGTTCTATATTGAAATATGTGCTAGGTTCTATTCAAGAGGTGAGGAGGAAAATTATGAAAATGAAAATGAAATTTACAAAATTCACGCAATTGATAGATTTAAAAGCAATTATTTATTGTAGAAATATTTTTTACTATAATTATTTTTGGAAATTCAAGAATTTTTTACTACATTTTATGAAAAGATTGCTTATACTTTGTTCAATGGTTAGAATTAGTTTCAATTAATCTATATTCTCATCCCATATTCTAATAATATCTATAATATTCTATTACAGTGTTAAAAATATTCTGTATTAGTACTCGTATAAAGCGAAACAAATAGTATAGAAGCGAAATACAAAATATATTGGAAACAATGGCCCATCTTTCAGTACTTTACTTTCTTGCAAGAATTTCATTTTTAACGTGGAAGCGTTTTGCCGGTTTTTGAATATGGCTTCTAGTTTTTAGGCTTTGCATGAGTTATGACAACATAAAAATGACCTGATTATTTAAAAAACATTGTGTTAATAACTCAAATTGAATGTAATATATTATTCATTAATATTAATATAAGAATATAAAATGACATTAATTTCGCAATTGTTCTCATTTACTTTAACAAGTATAGTACCTATAGTGTCCGTGGCATCCAAAATGCAGTGAAAAAAGTTTTAGTATAGTTTAACTGAATTATTAGTACCATAGTAAGAATTTAAAAACAACTGCACTGTAGTCTCGATTTTTTTACTACGTTATTTGCATTCTTACTGCGTAATTGAAGCCCATTTGATTTTGCTGCATGGTATAAATTTTCTATTCTACAATATGGATCACATATTATAAGAATTTTGCTAGTCCATGTATAAGATCATAGCACCTTAACTTTTATTTCATGTTTTAAAAAAGATATACTCTAAATCTAGGACAACTGAAACTTTCCTAACGTTAATGAACTTATGACCTTTCCAATGTTAATACGAGTAGTCTTTGATCTTATTGTTAGTATAAAGATATAGAAAAAGTTTTAGAAAAATTAAAAGATCTATGTGTGTAGGTAGAATGATTATTTAATTTAACTTTATATATTTCTAATGTTATGAAATATACAAAGTTTATTTTACTAAAATAAATATGATGACATAATTAATAATAATGGTAAAATTAAATAATATTATTCTTAATATGATAAAGTAAAATGGAGTAAAATCCTAGCAATGTTAAGTGCATACAATTAAGTTAATATAATTGTAATATTAGCTAATTAATATACTCTAACAAGCATAATGCTTAGAGAGAAACTTTAATATGTGAGATACTGAATATTATCTGCTTTAAAGTTGTAAGTTTTTAAGTACATATGCTGAATCCAAATATATTAAAGCAATGGACGGCCAGATGCCTTAAAAGTAAGTTAGTGAGCACATCCACATATGATAATTGCACTTATCGAATAGTTTTTTTTAAAATACATGCATGGGATACAAGTTAAATAAGAATTGAAATTTATAAAAAGCTGAGGCTGTTTCTTTTAAAACCATAAAATATTTTTCAATTTATATCAACAAAATGAATGAAATTGTAAATTCCCATTTCTTTTAAATTTATTCTTTTCCCAAAAATATGCGATTTTTAAGTATTCCAGGTAAACTGATTGTAGGAAGTTAGAATTTTTCTTTCACTTTTTTACCATAATGGTCGTAAGTTTAAAATGTCAGAATTTTGAATTTTTGTTAGAATAGCTATTTGTGAATTTGCCTAACGTCTTATTTTTATCAGACATTCTTTTAGGGAAAATTTAAATTTATCCTTTTTCGATCTATACGACAATGCAAATGTTGTATATTTTTATATAAAACACATAATATAGATATTTTTACATTTTAATTATTTTTTATAATAGCATTTAATTGTATACTAAATCAACATGAGCCCTTCATAATGACGAAGTCTGCTTATACAATCTAAAACGAAATGGAATCAGCAGAACGGCTGGATCTTTTTCGTGATGCGATTCTGGTTTTGCTTTTCTAAATAGTAACCTGTTTAAGTTTAACAGTAAATATATGCCTCCGCAAAAGCTTCAAATTTGTTATTTGTGGAAACGAGCTGGAAAGTTAGTAGTACGTATATGTTAGATCTAATTTATTAAAAAAGCCTTCTCTGCTTAAGACTAATTAGCTGGTTATTTATTTTCACTAAATATTTTATTTAAAAGCGCTATATTTATTTAAAAAATATTCGTCATTTATTTAATGTCTGTCTTATTATGTTATATTAAAAAAAAAGCTTTGAGCGGCCTTTGTGACCCAATTAGAGGTTTTCAGCGGATATAATACTGAGATTAGCGAGTAACTTCAGAGATAGTGCAAATTTGAGTGGATCGCAAATCACAAAAATCTAATTGGTGACGCTTACTCGTAAATGAAAAATTAAAAGGTATAATTAAATTTTTTGGTAAGAAGAAATTTTCATTTTTTGAATTTGTTTTTGCAGAAATTTAATAAAGCTTATAGTCTCAACGAAATGAGTTGCCTACAATTGAAATTTCGATAGAGACAATTCTCTCTTCGAGCAAAATAAAGAACAAAAAAAAATTCAGTTAAAATTAATTCATTGACAGCTAGAATTTGGCAAAACTTAAGGCTTCTATTCCTACACTTTACCAACCGCGAGTAAAATGGTGTTAAAAATGTCAAAAAACAAAAGCGACATTAAAACAGCAGTTTTTTTAAAATTTATATTTTAACTGAAATGTTTGTTTTCAATGTTTATTTTTTTTAGATTTTGTGGGGTTTAAAAAATATTTAAGATTTCGACGTAATTAATTCCTAAAAAATGGAATTTTTCGGGCTTTGCGCATAGCTTTTATAGGTTGGGAAGAAAATAAAAATTTTCTACAGAAATGTGAGATCCATTTTGTACATGTAAAGTTGCAATGATTTTATTCTGAAGGGTTTAAAAAATTTTTTAAATATTAATACATGAACAGGCTGCCGAAAAAGAGAAAACTTGGTTTTCTGTTTTAGTTGTATTATGAAAATAAATTACATAATTCCACTTGTCTTATAAATTTTTTTGCACCGTAACATATATTTTTCCATATATAATGGTGCAGGACGATGTTAAACAAGGCATACTAAAAATAACCGAATTTCAAGTTTTGAAGCCAAAAATAACCCAAATTGATAAATTATATGACTCGATTAAAATTATATGAAAAATTACATTGAATAAGTTTAATAACTGCTACCAATACTTCCAAATATTCCTTGCTATTTATTGTACAATAAGAAATTTTTTTATTACAAAATTAATTGATTTTTATGTAAGAGGTTTATACTTTCTATCAACTTAAAGAACAAAAATTATTTTATGAAAATTGGAATCAATTTGTTTGCATGTTTTGAATTATTTATTCATAATAACATAAGTACATACATATGAGTATGTATAAAGTTTTTATATTTTATAGGCAAAAGAAAATGATTACCATTGAATTTATAGAGTTATTCCTTTCTTTTGAAATCTTTGTGTGTGAATGTAAATTGATTTTGAAGTTTTTCTCCATTTTATTCAAAAATATTTTAAACTTTCCATAAAATTTATATTGTTTTATATGACCTGATAGAAAATTTATCTAAAATTTGCATTTAATAGTATTTTACACTTTGAAAACTGGAAGCTTTATTATTTTTTTTTAAAACCAACTTTTTTATATACATACATACATGCAATTATGTATTTATAAAAATGGTTGATTGTATACGCATTTGGTCAGTTTTTCTCCTTAATGAAATTGTGATACATAATTTCATAATTTTTATTTATCTTTTTTATAATTAATTTCAAATGTGTATTTATTTAATAACTATAAATATTTACTAAAATTTATTATTTAATTAGCACATATTCACTTTTCACTTCATAAATTTAA